AATAAGTCTGGTTTCAATAAATTTGGCCTGATGACTTATATAAACATAATTGATCATAGACTTTTTTGTTTTGCTGAAACTTTTATAAGGAGTCTCAAACTGAACTTTTAAAAAACATCTCAGGGTTAGGAAAGTCACACTAAAGGCACATCACAGATTTTGCCTAACAGATCTAGGTGAATTTCTCCCTTCTCAAGGTCTCCAAAATTCCCTGAGATTTCTGTACCTGTTAGTGAGACAGCCTTCCTGGTTTATCTGATAAAGCTACTGGAAACCTAAGAGTTTCCAGTCTCTGGGGGGGATCTAATAGAAAAGGCGAATGTTTCAATTTTGCTTATGGAACTATAATTTCACTAAATTACTCTAACTCATAACTAGAGGGGAAGGGATTTCTTACACATGGAAAACACAGATTTAAATCAGTAATTTTTTAGCTAGAAACCATAAACGTTATAAGCATATTCACTCATTCATTCAGTCATTTTGTTAATGTTTTAGGAAGCAATCAGGTTTCCCAATAGAATCTTTTAATTTCCTTCTCAGTTCAGAATTATGGTTGAAAAGTCAGAAACCCAAAAGTCTTTCCTATAAATCTTCTTGAAGAGGAAACATTTTTGCAAAAGCAGCAAAATAAAACCATAACTGTCGACAATGGCAAAAGACTTAAGAAGGAATGCTTAAAATCTTATTACAATGCATTAACAAAGAAATTTGGTTACTGCTGTGACAACACTTTAAGATAGTATCTAGAATTATGGCTGATAACATTTTCCCAGGACATACCAGAATTTTAGGAACTCCATATAATTTATAGGATATCTATATTAGTAATATTTACCACACAACATAACCTGAGGAGATTTATTACTCATCAGACAATCTGTCTCATGTAATCCAACATATCAAATGGACCTAATTAGCTGAATATCTCTCCTTGGGATGTTTCAGGGGCCCTTGAAGCATCCCAAAGTTAGCTAGAGGTCAAAATTGTTTCATTAGAATTTTATTTAGGAAGCTTTCTCAATAAATATCAAAAGGGCTTAAAATACTCAGATAGGATCATAGGTCACTATGAAACAATAGTTATTCACTCAGCCAAAGTAACAATAAAAGATTTCAAAGGCAAAAACAGAACAAATCATTTATGAGGTAAAGAAAGTTAAAAATCTTTTATCAAAGGCAGTTCAATATCTGAAGAAAGCTTGTCCTCTTAGCCAAGAGAAAAGTCAAATTCAAGTTTTACAGAAACTTACTTTTAAATTTATTTACTTAATTAAATTGATTTTAAACTGAGTCAGTCTTGACCACGCACAAAATTCATTTCTCATGGTCCACTTTCCACAAACCTTGTTATACTTCTGTACATTCAGAAATAGACACCTGTAAGTCAGACCTACTTCCTTTTCCCTTAACAAAATGCAATTTCATTCCTCACACTTCTTTACTGTAAACACACATCCTACTTTCCTTAAGCAACCACGAACTGTCCTTTGTATTAGCATTCTGTAGATTGGTGAATGTAAATACCAATGATAATTTCTAAAAACATTTACTTTCTTATAGAGAATATCTCAAGATGGAACCAAACATTATTCATTAATAGTCCAAAATCTCTTTAGTTTCTCTGTAAGAGGAAGGTAGTGTTCAGTAATTAATGTTTTGGGATCTTATTTTATTTGGAAATGACCTAGCTATTCAATAAACTTCCATCACTTAGTTTAGCACAAACCTAGAAATTAAAGTTACCCAAATCTGGAAAGACTATTTTAGACAGACATTCCTAAAGTATATTTTATTCTTCACAAAATTTATCTAAAAGTTCCTATCTCATTTACATTTTATTTCCTTGAAAGTTTCTTCACTCAAGTTAATTTCCTTACTGACAAACTTGTAACAGATATAACTTATATTAAACCTAGGCACAATGAAAATGCTATGCTTAATATTAATGACTCAGACATGTCTACATTAATTAGATGAACAAACAAATATTAACACCAAGTATTTAATACTGAATATTTCCCAGTTCATGTGAACCTGAAATACATTTAGGTTAATTTCTCTTGTATTTAGAATTGTTTGATTTGTAAAGCAGAGTTAAGCAAAGGATCATTTTGGTGATTAGAGAATGATTCAGGTGTCAAGTCCAAATATTGCTTAAAAGTTTCTTTCCCAATCTCCCATAATAGTCTGGATTGATTCATTCGATCTTCACTAGCATTGTTGAACCTTTGTCCAATTTATGGTTTTTGGAGAAAGTTCTGAGATAGGTTTGAGTAATTTCTAAGTTAATTCCTTCAGTACAAGCCTCTTGACTATGTGACCAAAATTCCATTAAGGGTCATTTCCAACCTGCTTTTTCTATTCATCCCCTTGCTTTGCTTTCAGAAACTAACAGCTGTATTAGCTGATATGGATCTGAAAACCTGGACTTGTAAGTCCAGATGGTTAATTCAAAATTTTCAGCAAATCCCAATGCATTCTGAGTTGGACTGGGAAATTTCTTGGCTAAGGCTCGAAGTTCTGTTTGCATCCTGGATGTATAGGAAAGCAACAAGGACAATTCATTTCTCCCTGTAATAGATTTCTCATTAAGGGAGCTATAATCATTTCTGATTTTTTTTATCTTCCTTTTCTGGGAAAAGGGAAGCAGCAGGAGGGAGAAGAGTTGGAAGACAAAAAAGTGTCTGATCTAGGCAGTTTGAATAGAAGAGGATATATGGAAAGAGTAGAGGGAGAGGCAGAGTCAGTGCTAGCAGCCTTTTTTAGTTCTGATTATAGCTTCAAGCAATTTCTTGTTGCTGTTGTTGTCGTCATTGTTGTTGCTCAGTCCCTCAGTCGTATCCAACTCTTTACGACCCAGTGGACTGCAGCACCCCCAGGCTTCCCTACTCTTCACTATCTCCTGGAGCTTGATCAAATTCATGTTCATTGGATTAATGATGCCATTCAACTATCTAATCTTCTGTTGTCTCCTTCTCTTCCTGCCTTGAATCTTTCCAAGCATCAGGGTCTTGTCCAATGAGTCGACTCTTAGCATTAGGTGGTCAAAGTACTGGAGCTTCAGCTTCAGCATCAGTCCTTCCAGGGAATATTCAAGGTTGATTTCCTTTAGAATTGACTGGTTTGATCTCAGTGCTGCCCAAGGGACTCTCAAGAGTCTTCTCCAGCACCACAGTTTGAAAGCATCAATTCTTTGGTGCTCAAGCTTCTTTATGGTCCAACTGTCTATCTCATACATGATCAATAGAAAAAACATGGCTTTCACCATATGGGCTTTTTTTTGCAAAGAGATGCCTCTGCTTTTCAATACACTGTCTAGGTTTGTCATTGCTTTTTTTTCCAAGGAGCAAGCATTTTTTAATTTTATGGCTGCAGTCCTTATTCACAGTAATTTTGGAAACCAAGAAAATAGTCTGTCATTGTTGCCATTTTCCCCCATCTATTTGCCATGCTAGTGATGGGACTGGATAACGTGATATTTGTTTTTTGAATGTTGAGTTTTAAGCCAGCTTTTTCACTCTCCTCTTTCACCTTCATCAAGAGGCTCTTTAGTTCCTCTACACTTTCTGCCATTAGGGTGGTATCATCTGCATATCTGAGGTTAGGTTACTGATATTTCTCCTGGTAATCTTGATTTCAGCTTGAGCTTTATCAAGCCAGGCAATTTTCATGATGTACTCTGCACATAAGTTAAATAAGGAATGTGAAAATATACAGCCTTGAGGTACTCCTTTCCCAATTTGGACGAGTCCATTGTTCCATGTCCGGTTCTAACTGTTGCTTCATACAGGTTTCCTAGGAGGCAGTTATGGGGCCTCTTGCCTTCTCCTGTTTGACCACTTCCAATTTACTTTGATTCATGGACTTAACATTCCAGGTTCCTATGCCATATTGTTCTTTACAGCATCTTTTTCTTTCTTCACAATTTCGTGAAGATTCATTCTTACAGTAGATCCTAGCAACCTCAGCATACAAGCTTTTTTTTCTTTCCTTAATTAAGAACTTTCACCTTTTCACTTTACAGTTTTTTCAGCATATCCAAATTGCCAACACCACTATTTTTGTGCTTTGGAACCATTATTAAATAAAATGAGTTACTTGAACTCAAGCCCTGTGATACTAAAACAGTCAACCTGATAACAAGAGATACTATTAAGTGACTTATGGGTGGGGTATGCTGGACAAAGTGCTGATTCACCTCAGGCAGGATGGAATTGGATGGCACCAGATTTCATTACTCTACTCAGAATGGTGCATAATTTATAACTTATGAATTGCTTATTTCTGGAGTTTTCCATTTAATGTCTTTGAACAATCATTAAATGAAAATGTGCATCATGAAAACAAATGAAGGGGAAATACCGTACATAGACTTTCTTCTGTAAAATTTGGATTACATTATATGTTGTCCAAATCCTTTCTTTTCTCTTTTAGCATTATATTGTGAGCATTTCCCACATCTTAAAATTTTCAAGACTAATTTTTGTTGGCAAATCATATTTAATTAATTGTGATAACTATTTTCAGTCAGCATTTCAGTGTATCTTTTTTGCTATAAATGTTATTTTTTAAGTTTACTATATGTATTTAAAATTCATTTACAACTATTTCTCTATAAACTTTATCCAAACCTCTGGTGACACCTCTTTTTTCATCTGATAAATATCAGAATCTTTGAAAAGGAGATGGTAATAGGAACAGAAAGAGATGAGAGAAAATGGAAATAATGATAAGAAATAGCCACTAGAGCTGCTATAATGTGAGAGTTGTTATTAACCATCTGTGGCCTTGAATGAATGTGTAATGATAACGGCAATATTTGTAATACTGGAACTTTTAAAATAATTTCATTTTTCTCTAAAAAAATACATTTTTTGCATCTTCAAAAAGTAATATATCTGTTGTTAATGTCTTCACACTAAGAAAAAGCCTATTTGGAGTATTTCTTTGTTACTTGTTATCAATCCTCTCTACTCCCATTCCCTATCTTCCTGAAGCCATGGGAATAAAGAAGAGTTCTCCTGCAGAGGAATACAACTTGCTGTGGATTGGTTCCTAGATAAAGGCCATAAAGATATTACTGTATTTGTGCCTGCATGGAGAAAGGAGCAATCCCGCCCTGATGCACCAATTACAGGTACTAATTAAATTAAAACATTTCTTCTCATCCAGAAGCAAAGCTGGCAAGATAGTTTGCGGAGAGCCCAATGCTCCTAAATTAGATAAGTACTTTTCTAAATCTATTAAGTACACTTAAAATGTTTTTTATTAAGTGTATTTTAAAGCAGATTTTTCCTGATCCAAATAATCTGTTGTACTGTGGCACAGAGTAGTTAAATAGAGATTTCAATTTCAAGCAAAAAATAAAGCACATAGTTGAAAAAAGAGTGTTGGTTTCTATTTGACCATAAGCTTCAGACAGAAAGGGAGATGAATCTGGTTACAAACATGACTGAGTTTTCCAAAATACTAAAGAAACCACCATAGACAATGGATCTCATCCTGTAGCAGATAAGTTATTGTGGGATTTGCAAACTAGGGGTTAGAATAGAAAAAGAGAAAAGTCCCATGGCATTCAGAGCTAATTTATCCATGAAGCACAGTAGGCCGAGTGCCTAGGGGTCATAATATATACTTTTAGGATCCCATGAAAATGGTTTAATTTTATAAGCTTTTTAACATCAGAGGGTAAAATTGAATATAACAATAAATATATAATAATGTACCTAACTGGATTATTTATGTTTATACCAACATAATTGTAAAGTATAAACTTAACATTTCTTTATGGAAGAAAAGACCCATGAAGGCAAAAGTGCCTAAAGTCCACAAAAGTTATGATGTGGCCCTATTGGCAGGAGGATCACTACATTCACTTATAATAGTATATAAAGCTAGCTCTTAATGGCATTTGAGAGCATCAATACCCCAATTCTCTGAGTATCAGGTCTTGCCTTATGTACAAAATGAGAAGGTTCAGTGAATGACTGAAGGTTCAGTGTCATGGGGTTGTCTGCCAACTGCTGAACAGGCTCCCAGCCTCAGTCTGAGAGTGGATCCTGGCCCTACTCAAACTTCTTTCTTCATTAATAAAGAGGCTAAAAGGAAAGGGGGTTAGTACTCATATGCTACCACTTAATATTTTTCCTTAGTCGTGGCTTTCCTTCAGGCAGAAGGCAAAAATGTTAGTCCCTAAGAAAGATACATTATTCTCATCCTTGCAGACACATCCTCATCATACTTCCCTGGTTTCTTCAGCAACCAAACCTGGTGCTGCAGCCAAAGGGCAAAATAAGCCTCAAAATTGTTAGGATGTCAATGTTATTTCTTACTCTTCATGCTGGTTTTTAAAAACTTAGACATCATTTAATCTATTTCCTTTATTTTATCAGAAAGAAAACTGGAGTGGAAAGGGGAAAGCAACTTGACTAAAATCACAGTCCAAATTGGTGCCATAGCCAGGAATAGTGGCCACATTCTCTCTAAGAGCAAATAATATATTAATCTAGTACCAACTTTTATATTTTTAATATGGGAATAACGCTGTTAATTTCCAAAGACGATTTCTATTCTGTATCATATAATCCATATTTCAACAGATCAAGATATCCTACGTAAACTGGAGAAGGAAAAGATTCTTGTCTTCACACCTTCCCGAAGGGTCCAGGGCAGGAGAGTTGTTTGCTATGATGACCGGTTCATAGTCAAACTGGCTTTTGATTCTGATGGCATCATTGTATCCAATGATAACTACCGAGATCTTCAAATTGAAAAGCCAGAATGGAAGAAGTTTATAGAAGAGCGCTTGCTGATGTATTCTTTTGTGAATGACAAGTATGTTTCTTTCCTATAGGTTCTGAATAGCCTAAATCCAAATTACCACTAAGGATAGATTTAATTCCATTTCAATAAATATTTACTGAACACTCACTGTATATTGTGCATTATGCTGGTTGCCATGGGAATAAAAGGCTGAATAAGTAACAAGACTCACCCTTAAGAAGCTCAAAGTGTACATAGAAAAGAGATTTCCACAATGTGTTGGGATAAACTCTATGGTTAGCATTTTTTTTTAATTGCTTTGTCTATGTGAAATGATATGAAAAAGTCTCACAGAGGAAATAGCATTTGAAATGAAGTTTACAGACAGAGGAAAGAGGGCTTCTGGGCATTATAGGTAAAGAGAACATCATGAATAAAGCTATAAAGATGTGAAAATGGGTTGCATGTTGGGGGAACTGGCAGACATGTCAGTGTGGTTGAAACTTATATCCACAGAAGAATGATGTATGGGAAAAATCATTCCTTTCTTGTGTTTAAGTGGAAACAGAGGGAAGAACTGCTGACTTAGCAGAAGATAGACTTGCTGCAGAAAGGGCTATTAGAAGGCTATGGCAATAGTATAAGCAACATGTAATGAAGGCCTGAACTCCTGATAAGGGATAGTTTACCTCTTGCTTGCTTGCTTTCAGATTTATGCCTCCAGATGATCCTTTAGGACGTCATGGCCCAAGCCTTGAAAACTTCTTAAGAAAGAGACCTGTTGTTCCTGAACACAAGAAGCAACCATGTCCTTATGGTGAGTACCTATGTGCAAAACTGAAGAAGTCTGAATACTTTTCTCTTCAAGGTTTCCCTTTCAAAGGGAAAATCCTGGTTTGTCCACTCTCTGTAAGTTAAAGTCTGTGTCTTCATATATTTTCAATTAGGCATTTAAAGAACCATCCTAGAAATTTCTTGAGAAACAGGTAACTAGAATTGAAGGAAAAAATAATTGTCACTAGTTAAAATGATTCATGTGTTCTAACTGTCTCTGTCCTGAGCAGTGTTGTTGGGGGCAGGGAAGTGCAGAAACTTACTTGATCTGTGGAAGAAGAAAGGGCAATGACAAACTGTGTTTGGCCCCAAGAAGGATGTATCTTTCAGGCAGGTGACTGCGCCCTCTGTCAATATTACCCTTTTCTTCCAATCTGCATTTTCCATTTTGCTTCCAAACTTTATCTTCATTTCCTATTTTAAATATAGTTTTCTATACCCATGACTGAATCATGTCAATGTATGGCAAAAACCACTACAATATTGTAAAGTAATTAGTCTCCAATTAAAATAAATAAATTGATTTAAAATAAAATAAATAAATAAATATAGTTTTCTAGAGTGCTTTCATGATCTTACCCAAGTCCCTGTGACACAAAGTTTGTGAGCCTAACAGTAAGACATATACTGCCTTGTCTGAGGCAAATGTGAATGTTCACTGTTTTTGAATAATCATTTATTTATAAGACATCTAGGTGTTTGTTCTCAACTATCATTTATTCATATCATAGAGTATTTCATGTTCACTATCTTCATTTAATCCTCACAATGACCTTATAATAAAGGCATTATTATAAACCTTGTTTACAGAATAGGAAAATGAGGCACAGAAAATAAAAATCACTTAGCAGGGTCACACGGCTAGTAAGTGACATAGCTGGAATTAAAGCTCAGATCTGACCAGCCTCCAGGCCAGTGCTCTTTGCACTGAACCACCCTGCCTGCTACTGCTCTACACTGCCTCAGCATGCAGGCTATGCCTAGACAAAGTTGTGAATTTCAGGAAAATGAAGGCTGTTCAGTGACAACTCTTACCTTTCACACTGCAGTTTCCTTCCTAGGTTTCCACTTCTTCCCTCTCTGCTCACAGTGTGTGGTGCCACCATGGTGTTGTCTGTCTCCCGTCTTTAAGAACAGTTAATTTTGTCTTATATCCCAAAAGTAAAACTCTAACCTGAGTGACCAGATTGTTAAAACAGCCTCTGGCACAGAGAGTTGCACCACTATGAGAGAGTCTTACCCCAGGGCATTATTTTTCAGGCAAAAAATGCACCTACGGCCACAAGTGCAAATACTACCATCCGGAGCGGGCCAACCAACCGCAGCGTTCGGTGGCTGATGAGCTCCGCATCAGTGCCAAACTGTCCACAGTAAAAACCATGAGTGAAGGCACCCTGGCCAAGTGTGGCACAGGGCTGTCTAGTGCCAAAGGTGACATAACCTCAGAAGTCAAACGCGTGACCCCCAAGCGTCAATCGGATCCCAGCATCCGGTCCGTGGCTGTGGAGCCTGAGGAATGGCTGTCCATTGCCCGTAAGCCTGAGGCCAGCTCTGTCCCCTCACTTGTGACTGCTTTAAGTGTCCCCACAATCCCACCCCCCAAAAGCCATGCAGTGGGTGCCCTCAACACCCGTTCAGCCAGCAGCCCAGTGCCAGGATCCTCTCATTTCTCCCACCAGAAGTCCTCATTGGAGCACATGACCAGCATGCAGTACCCGCCCATCCTGGTTACCAATAGCCATGGGACCCCTATTAGCTATGCTGAGCAATACCCAAAGTTTGAGCCCTTAGGGGACCACAGCTACTATTCAGTGTTAGGCGACTTCTCCAAACTGAACATTAACAGCATGCATAATCGAGAGTACTACATGGCTGAAGCAGACCGGGGGTTGTATACCCGGAATCCCAACCTCTGTCCTGACAATCGTATGAGCCATACCAGGAACGACAACTATTCCTCTTACAACAACCTGTACTTGGCTGTAGCTGATACTCATCCTGAAGGCAGTTTGAAGCTGCATCGCTCAGCATCTCAGAACCATCTTCAGCCTTTTCCTCATGGTTACCATGAAGCCTTAACGCGAGTGCAGAGCTATGGCCCAGAAGACTCTAAGCAAGCCCCCCACAAGCAATCAGTCTCCCACTTAGTTCTGCATGCCCAGCACCCAACAACTGGAGCACGCTCCAGCTGTCCTGGAGACTATCCCATGCCTCCCAATATCCATCCTGGGGCAACCCCCCAGCCAGGACGTGCCCTGGTGATGACTCGGATGGACAGCATTTCTGATTCTCGCCTATATGAGAACAATCCCATGAGGCAAAGACGTCCTCCTCTGTGTCGGGAACAGCATGCCAGCTGGGACCCACTGCCCTGTGCAACTGACTCTTATGGCTACCACTCCTATCCCTTGAGTAACAGCCTCATGCAACCATGCTATGAGCCAGTCATGGTACGGAGTGTACCTGAAAAGATGGAGCAGCTTTGGATGAATCCTTGGGTTGGAATGTGCAATGATTCCAGGGAGCAAATGATCCCAGAGCACCAGTATCAGACCTACAAGAACCTCTGCAATATTTTCCCTTCAAACATTGTTCTTGCAGTGATGGAGAAGAATCCCCACACAGCAGATGCCCAGCAACTAGCAGCCTTGATTGTTTCTAAGCTTAGGGCTGCACGTTGACATGACATAGGACTTATTTCTTTATATAAATATGAATACCTATAATGCACTAATACTATGATAACAGTAACTAATAGTTTTGTGTTACACTTTACAAGTTACAGACTGTTTATGTTATTGAAGTGCATAACAACCCTGTGAGGAAAGTCTTACTAATGTCTTGTTTTCTAGACAAGGAAACTGAAGCTCAGTGAGTTTAAAAGTGACTTGCTGAAGTCACACTGCTAGCAAGTGACCAAGTCAAGACTCACACCCAAGTCCTCTGACTCCAAGTCCTATACCCTTTTGCACTGCACCATGCAGGTAATGGAGGACAAAACCCAGGGGAAAGGCTTAAATGCAAGAGACCCCAAGGGATTCCATTACCAACTGTTTTCTTAGTCACACATTCTATATTATGAAGTATCAATGACATATCTAATTTAGAGAGCAAGAGTATCAGGATCAATCCATATGTTGAATTAACCATTTAGGATTTTTAATAAGAATATTTAAACCTATTTAAAAGTAAACATATACTTTACTGCATGGATATCTGACCATTCAATACATTTATTAACTGAGATATAGGGTCACACTGAAGTTTCTAGAGCTACATTTCAAACCTATTGTTAGCAATTATATTGCATGTATGACTGTATGTATTTAGTTTGAGGTGTGTGTGTATGTGTATCTCTATATAACCTTTTGTATAATGGTGATAAAAAGACAGACTTTGCACAGTCCTTAGTCTACAGCTGTATAGATCACAAATCTGACTTGATTTTACATCATATTTCATAGTTTCAACTAGTTTTGAAAGTGAAACTACATCCCAATATTTGAATATTGCTTTCTTAGGCACCAGAGCAAACTGGCTCTATTTCCTTTGCACTTTTTACTTCTCAACATTTATTGAGAGTTCTTCACTTTTAAGTCTCTTCACCTTAGTAAATTAGGGATCAGATTGAAGCCTTCTTCTGCAGAAGAGGTGATGGATAGTTCCAAGTTGATACTCTCAAGTTCCAAGCATAGTAGTTGCGTGTGCTAGACAAGCACAGAAGAGTTGGACCAGAACCAAGGGATTTACTACCAGAATTTGCTTCCCTTAATCCCAGGAGAGATGGCCAAACTCATCTGGCATTAAATGATGAACACAAAAAACTGCATTCAAGGGGGTCCAATGGATGCTCTTTGGACTTCTGACCTATGCAGTATTCAGCATCACAGGATGAAATGCATTGAAGGATAGTGCACCGTCATGTAATCCACTTTCTCCTGCCATCTAACCTTTGGGCAATAAGGTCGATCATTGGTGGAGCAGAACTTTAAGAAACACAATCAGGGGATTTTCTAGGTGGAAAAAGCTTCCAAAAGTGGATACTACATCTTTGCTAATAACTGGCTCAGTTACATACTTCAAATGCATGGAGAGGGTGCACTTGACCTTAGGCGATTCTTAAATGGATTACTAAGGAAGGCAGGACTTTGGGTTGACAGCACTATATGGGCAACTTGTATCTCGCTCAGGGTGGGAACCTTTGTAGCTAAATGCCTCTAGAAGAGGTATTTATTGTTTTTGTTTTTTTAAACAGCTGCACTAAATAAACCCCTTTTTGAATCCATTGTATATTGCAACATTTTGAACCATGACCAGCTCACTATTTCTTGAGCTGGAACTTGCTAATTTCTATGGTAGTTTTTTTTCATGAAAGTTGAGAAGGCCTGGTCTTGGCCTTTTGTTTCTTCATGAGAAGGTGTGACACTGCCTATAAATGTTTCTTACTGTGAAACACTCCGAATGTGAGACTGTAGTCAGGGTTATTTCTGGTGGTTTGATAACGGCTTGCATGCTGCTTTCTGGCTTTCTGTCTCTGTCCTGGTTGATCAAAACTTCCTCTTGGTGTTTCTCTTCAGTTTACTACAGTTCACATTCATCTCCTACCCTTTGATCTTTCTATCTCCCAGCATACTGAGGAGTAAAAGTATTTTCTCCCAGGTAGGTCCATAGAGTGAAGTGCTTGCCGTTTCACACAAACACCATTTCATACCTTCAACTTCTTGGACCTTCTAAATCTGTCCCATGTCTAAGTCAGGGTACGTGACAATCTTAGATGACTCTACTGCCTTTGTGCCAGTTAGTTCAACTTCCTAAAAAAAAAACATCAATGGTACCACAGTATCCACTAGCTGCACACTGTACAGGGAAGCACAAGATTAATCTTCTCAGCTGCAGTTCATATGGAACATATTTATGTTCAGCACTCAAAAAAAATTCTAAGCTCCTCCCAATACAGGAAATATTTTTTAAGGCAGCATATGTATTTATTTCCTAAAAACAATTGTCATTCTTCTCATAAAATGTGTATGAATCAAAGCAGCTAGGAGCAATGCCTCAAATAACCAGAAATGACCTTCTGTTGATACAAATTGTATCTCTTTTTCTCCTGACTGTATAGAAACAAATGTACAAAACTCATCTTAAACTAGGTTTTGTACTGACTTTTCATTATGATGTTTGTGGCACTGTGTGTCACAAGGGAGTAGCCCAGGATCATGAGGGAGCTTTTATTTACAAAGGGCAGTAGTTTATAGACAAAGACAATTTTTCAAGGCCTCTTGATTACTATGTGCAAGATACTGTGCATAGTTTCAAGCACTATATGGCATAAGTTTCTCTTTAGCCGATTAAATTTAATATGTCCTTGCAAAAGATTTTGTGTACAAAATTGTCAGTGTGAGTTGTTCATCTGTAAGAACCTATAAATGGAGCTGTACAACTATGAATGCATAAATTGAGCTTGTTTATATTGAGGTCTGCACACTTCTTGACTGACTGTTCCATTTTGTCTGCAATTATAAAACAGCAAATACAAAGAAACATCGAAACCCCTTTGGCTTCCTTGATAATGAAATCAAGCTTCCATCCTGGGGATAAGTGTATGTTCTTCAGGATACTTACCTCCAAGTACTAAGTAGGGGTTACTGCACAGTGTTTTGTGTGGTTTTCAAGAAGTATATTTTGCAAGAGGTGCTTTGTAATTTTAATTCTTTCACTGAGATTCTGGACTTATAGCAAGTCTGTGCTTGTTCAGGCCTTAGATTTTGTAGATTTTGTGATTTTTTTTTTCTTTTTGTGACTTTGTTGTTTGTTTTATTGTTATTTTTATTTCAACCTGAAGAAGTGTGACTCTGGAGTGGCATAGTCAATCCAGGGCACCATTTCTGTAAGATGGCTCAAAGGAAAAGGAGCCTTTTCAAAGGTAACATACAGCCATTGCATGCTCTCTTAAGGTGCAAGAAATGGAAGGGGGGGGGGGTGACACATGCCTTATGGAAATGGTATACAAAACTTTTCTTCTAAGTAATGAAATGTGGAGATATATATATATATATATACACACTCTCTCTCTCCTAGTTTCCAGGAGAATACTTCTAAATCCATTTTTTCTATTTTAGAATAAATTATCTTTATACAGTAATTCAAACACTTACATCCATTAACTCTTGGCACTAGGTTTTCTTCTTATATAGAAGAGCTCATTTTGAGAGGCACTCAGTTACTGTTTTATGTATGCTTTAAGTATGGGACTTTGTATAAACACCCTTTTTGAGGGCCAACAATTTCAATATACTTTGTTTAACTCTGGGAACCAGGTCTGGAGCTGCACAGGGAAAGTAATGTCAAGTTGTCCAAAGAGCCCTGCTCAGGTGTCCTTCCAGCCCTTCTCTACCTTCCCCTAGTTGGTTTCTCCTCAGGCCTGACACTGAGGTGTGCATAATCTGCAACTAAAATGGCACTACACTTAGTTCTCATTGGAAATCAAACCAGTATATTTTGGGAACTTGCTTGTCTAAATAGTTGATGCCAAAAGACTCAGCATATTCCATACCTATCATAGTGTAGCTAGCTATATACATAGGCAGATTGACTACTTTTAGTCCTGGTTTGCGTATCATTGAGCTATAGAAGTTTGCTTTACCCATTTGTGGGATTAAATGATACTGTATAATGGCTGTAAGCTTTTATAAAATATCTTTGGGTTCTTTGTTTAACCCAAACATAATGTAAGTCTTAATGACAAAGTGCACAAAGCTAACCAGAGGTGAGTGAAAATATATCCTGTTCCCAGTTTTGTCTACACCTGAAATGCATGTGCAATGCTTTGCAATATGTTCTCACTAGCATGAATGTGCTGACTACTTCATGAGGTTTTAATTTGTTTCACTTATAATCATGATGGAAAATGCTGTATCCTTGACAACAATGAACTGTAACTACATTTAATTACTGCATAAACTTTTTGTTTACTAACCACTAATGGCTCTGTTTCTTTACAAATATCACTAACAAAAGCCATACTGCACCTACAAATACACTCAGCTCCTAAAAATTTAGATTTCTGTCCATGGATTTGCATCTTGAGATAAGGAATAAGAGGAGGGATCTCCCCAAATGAGTTCATCTGAGTTTTGTCACAGTAAACATTGTCTTTGTTTAGTTGCTAAGTCATATCTGACTCTTTTGCGACCCCATGGACTGTAGCCTGCCAGGCTCCTCTGTCCATGGGATTCTCCAGGCAACAATACTGGAATGTGTTGCCATTTCCTTCTCCAGGGGATCTTCCCGACCCAGGGAGTGAACCTGCGTCTCTTGCATTGGCAAGCAGGTTCTTTACCACTGAGCCACCAGGGAAGTCCTCACAGTAAATATATGCCCTCTATTTTTTTTTAATACTAACACAGCTGTAAGTGCAAATCAAGTGGCTTTTCCAACAGGGCTGGGCTGGACCAGGCCTCAAACTGGTGGATTAGAACCTGGTGGAGGGATAAGGGCTCAGGCTTATTTCTCTAAACGACCTACTGTTTCCCCACTGAATAGCCTCAGGTCCACAGAGACATCATCTGCTGAACTTTAGCCAGAATATCAGAACCAGGAGCAGCCTAGATAACCCTATAGTTCATAGAGAAGTCGCGTGGGGACTGTGGGGAGTGCTCAGCTGCATGGACTCCATCAAGGTAAAGGTATGAGAACTGAGGCACCAAGAACTGAAGAGATTTGATTGAGGCTGAAGAGGGCCAAAACTGGAACCCCAGGCCTCACTGCTCTCAAGCCAGTGAGCCCTTTATCACAGTGGTGTCTGCTCTTCCATGAACCTGGCTTCAGAAATCTCAGGTTTCAGGAGGACTCCAACCAAAAATGACCCTTAGTTCTTACTCTCCATGGACCTGGATCAGAAATGTGCTTCAATAGCCTACTTCTTGTCTTTAGGTCAGTCTTTGAGGGCTACGGAAGAGCACTTTTTCCTGGGTTATAAGACTTGAGTCCTGAGTTCAAGGCTACCAACCCTGGCATGAATCCACAGAAATCACACATACAAAGCTTTAAGAGAAACTTTGTATCTATGATCTTTTTGATCTTTACAACCCCATGAGGCAAATATCTTCCTTTGACAAATGAAGAAACTGTGGCATGATTTGCCCAAGGTTGTTCTCATTAAGTGGTAGAGTGTGTTGTTCAGTCACACAGATGTGTCCAACTCTGCAACCCCATGGACTGCAGCACGCCTGGTTTCCTTGTACTTCACTATCTCCCAGAGTTTGCTCAAATTCATGTCCATCGAGTTGGTGATGCCATCCAACCATCTCATCCTCTGTCACCACCTTCTCATCCAGCCCTCAATTGGTCCTAGCATCAGGGTTTTTTCCAATGAGTTGGCTCTTTGCAACAGATGGCCGAAGTATTGGAGCTTCAGCTTTAGCATCAGTCCTTCCAAAGAATATTCAGGGTTGGCAGCAATTCTTCAGTGCTCAGCCTTCTTTATGGTCTAATTCTCACATCTATAGATGACTACTTGAAAAACCATAACTTCGACTATATGGACCTTTGTCAGCAAAGCAATGTCTCTGCTTTTTTAATTCACTGTCTAGGTTCATCACAGCTCTTTTCTTCCAATGCCTGGAACCTATATTTTTGGGTAGCTTCTTCCTCTACACCAGAGCACAGATTTTAGTGTGCTTCAGAATTATCTGAAGGGCTTGTTAAACCAGATTTCTGGCCACTGTCAACCATTCTGATGTATATCTGGAGTGAGGTTCAGTAATTTCTATGTCTAACAAGTACTAACACCAAAAAAAGATGTCCTTTTCATCACAGGGGATTGGAATACAAAGTAGGAAGACAAGAGATACCTGGAGTAACAGGCAAGTTTGGCCTTGGAGCACAAAATGAAGCAGGGCAAAGGCTAACAGAGTTTTGTCAAGAGAACACACTGGTCATAGCAAACACCCTCTTCCAACAACACAAGAGATGACTATACACATGGACATCACCAGATGGTTAATACTGAAATCAGATCGATTCTGTTCTTTGCAGCCGAAGATGAAGAAGCTCTATATAATCAGAAAAAACGAGATGTGGAGCCAATTATGGCTCAGATTATGAACTTTTTATTGCAAAATTCAGATGTAGATTGAAGAAAGTACAGAAAACCAATAGACCATTCAGGTATGACCTAAATCAAATCCCTTATGATTATACAGTGGAAGTGACAGATTCAAGGAATTAGATCTGATAGAGTGCCTGAAGAACTACAGAGGAAGGTTTGTAACATTGTACAAGAGGTGGTGAACAAAACCATCTCAAAGAAAGAGAAATGCAAGAAGGCAAAATGGCTGTCTGAGGAGGCCTTACAAATAACTGAGAAAAGAAGAGACTTGAAAGGCAAAGGAGAAAGAGAAAGATATATCCAACTGAATGTAGAACTCCAAAGAATAGCAAGGAAAGATAAAAAAGCCTTCTTAAATGAACAATGCAAAGAAATAGAGGAAAACAATAAAAATGGGGAAGATTAGAGACTTCTTCAAGAAAATTAGAGATACCAAAGAAATATTTCATGCAAAGATGGGCACAATATAGGACAGAAATGGCAAGGACCTAACAGAAGCAGAAGACATTAAGAAGAGGTGGCAAGAATACACATAAGAACTGTACAAAAAAAAGATCTTAATGACCTGGATAACCTTGATGGTGTGGTCAACTCACCAAGAGCTAGACATCCTGGAGTGTGAAGTCAAGTGGGCCTTAGGAAGCATTACGACAAACAAAGCTAGTGGAGGTGATAGAATTCCAGATGAGCTATTTCAAATCCTAAAAGATAATGTTGTTAAAGTGCAGCACTCAGTATTTCAGCAAATGTGGAAAACTCAGCAGTGGCCACAGGACTGTAAAAGGTAGCTTTCATTCCAATCTCAAAGAAGGGCAATGCCAAAGAATGTTCAAACTACTGTACAATTGGGCTCATTTCACATGCTAGCAAGGTAATGCTCAAAATTCTTCAAGATAGGTTTCAACAGTACATGAACTGAGAACTTCCAGATATACAAGCTGAATTTAGAAAAGGTAGAGCAACCAGAGATCAAATTGCCAACATCTGTTGGATCATAGAAAAAGCAAGAGAATTCCAGAAAAACATCTGCTTCATTGACTATACTAAACCCTTTGACTGTGTGGATGAAAACAAATGGTGGACAATTCTTAAAGAGATGGGAATACTAGACCACCTAACCTGTCTCCTGAGAAACCTATATGCAGGCCAAGAAGCAACAGTTAGAACTAGACATGAAACAACGGAATTGTTCCAAATTGGGAAAGAAGTACATCACGGCTATCTATTGTCACCCTACTTGTTTAACTTCTATGCAGAGTACATCAGGCGAAATGCCAGGCTGGATGAATCAATCAGAACCTGGATTCATGACTGCCAGGAGGAATATCAACAACCTCAGATATGCAGATGACACCACCCTTATGGCAGAAAGTGAGGAGGAACTAAAGAGCCTCTTGATGAATGTGAAAGAGGAGAGTGATAAAACTGGCTTAAAACTCAACATTCAAAAAACGAAGATCATGGCATCTGACCCCATTACTTCATGGTAAATAGATGGGCAAACTATGGAAAGAGTGACAGAGTATTTTCTTGGGTTCCAAAATCACTGGGGACAATGAATGCAGCCATTAAATTAAAAGATGCTTGCTCCTTGGAAGAAAAGCTATGACAAACATAAACAGCATTTTAAAAAAGCAGACACATCACCCTGTTGATAAAGGTCTTTATAGTCAAAGCTATGATTTTTCCAGTCATCATATTTGGATATGAGCTGGACCATAAAGAAGGCTGAGCACCGAAGAATTGATGATTTTGAACTGTGTTATTGGAGAAGACTCTTGAGAGTCCCTTGGACAGAAAGGAGATCAAACCAGTCAATCATTAAGGAAATCAACCCTGAATATTCATTGGAAGTACTGATGCTGAAATTGAAGCTCCAATACTTTGACCACCTGATGCAGAGAGCCAACTCATTGGAAAAGACCTTGATGCTGGGAAAGACTAAAAGCAGAAGGGGCCAACAGAGGATGATACTGTTGGATGGCATTACCAACCCAATGGACATGAGTCTGAGCAAACGACGGGAGATACAGAAGCCTGGTGTGCAGCAGTCCAGGGGGTTGCAGTCAGACACAACTTAGTAGCTAAACAACACTTACCCAGGTGGTACTGATATTACCAAAAACTCGGATCTACACCAAACTGTTAACCTGTGTCCTTGGGCAAACCCCTACCCTTTTTCTCTGAATTAATGTCTCAATGTATTAAATAAGGGGACTAGATTTCCAAAGTTTTGTTTAGTATCAAAGCCCATTTTGAAAAAGTAGAAATTTTATATATGATATCAATACATACACAATAAAAATCCAGGGTGCTTTAGAGCTCTGGAGAGGAACCAAGGGCTTGCAGCAGCCATCTTCCCACAGAGCAGATGCTGAGGCTGTGTTCCAGAATATATATTTGCAAATCCCTTGACAAGATGTGGCCTAGGTGCTCCTTGAGGGCTCTTTTGACATTTTTGGCTGCTAAGACAGCATTTCGCAGGAGAGGGAAGAGCTGGAGGAAACTTACCCATGCCTTAACCCATGCAGACTGCTCTGCCCATGCCTGATGGTTGGGTCACACAGCACAGGAAATCTTAACCTCCAGGGCTGTTGGGCTCATGGATCCCTTCAATAATCTGATTAAATCTATGAACTAGCTCTAGAAAAATGATTACATACACATACCCACAAAGATATTCAGGATATCCTCTAGTGAACTCCCTAGTATCCTAACTCAAGTTTAAAACCTTGACTGGTCTCTGGCAGGATACTTCCATTCAATTCCTACTTAGCATTTTATAGCATATGCCTTCTCCTCATCATCATTCCTTGGCTCAGTCATTTACAGAGCAAGCATCTTGGCTGGAATATGTCCTGGTTCTGTCCCTTGTTTTGCCTGTGTAGGCCCAACCTGGCCCTGCAGGTGCCCACTCGTTCAGCCAGCTATCACTCTCCTGAGTAGGGGTGGGGGATATCATAGTCAATCTTACCTTCAGCCAACCACACCCTGGAAATATCACCAGAGAAAAACAAAGAACTCGTGTACATCAGGGCTTTCTTAAGACACTTAACAAAGGTATCAGGTTATCATAATTGGTGAATTTTGTTCTTTTTCACTGGGCAGAGGGCTCTGAGGGGTGAGAACATAATTTATTCATCCCTGTCTTTTGACAGCTCAGGGCTGACAGGGTAGGCATTGAGGGTCTGAAAGAATTGGGTGATCACGGAAAAGCTCTGGGTCAGTCTCTAGGACATTTCTCTGCACCAGTGTCCACCACAGGGAGGTCCATTTTATCTTTTTCAAGGCAAAAGGAGCAAAAAAGTGACAAAGGAAGAGTTCTCTTTGGCTTTCAACTGTTGTTTGGTGCCCAGTGAGGGAAGGCAGGGAAATGGGTCAGAAGCATGCTGGGTAGCAACAGGAAGACCTGGATCTTCCAGCTGTCAGGGAGGTTCTGAGCTGATTCCCCTGATGCTGGCTGGGATTTATGACCAATGTCTCTTCCGAGGTCTGATGCTTCTAAGTGAGCTGGCCCCACATTACATTTGAGTGAAGGGAGTAAAAATGGTTTGAGTCAGAAAAAAGGCTTAAAAAGGGCAGTAGAACCACTTCTGCTGTTATGATACCATCTTCTCAGGACCCCCCAGAATAAAGGGAGAAGCACACAACCCTGGATCTCACAAACATCAAAACAACAGTGGCCTGTTTATTGTTTTTCAAAATAAAACAAAACAACATATATTCAAAATTCTACTATGATGGAAAAGCTGAGCTGATATGGTTGATGCAGGCTATCTGCCAGGTTGTTTTCTGGAGCATTTGGTAGGTACACTGGGGGAGGCAAAGGAGGGTAGGCTATTGCCCCACTAACACTTAATGAACACCTATACCAGGGCAGTCATCAGAAGAGCTGTACGCCAGCTTTGAGCATATGAAGCTCATCCTGGCTCCAGAGAAGTTGGTTCAAGTTGCCACTGTCATTGCTGCCACTGCTGCAGCTCAGGCCTAGGGTGCTACAGAGAGAGGGGAGAAGAGTGGTCAGTCAGGGAAGGAGGCAGTTTTAGGCTCTGGAGGGGTTAAGGGTGCTTGATGTGTGTCTATGGGAAGGACCTCCCCTCTTGCCTGGCTTTACAAAGAGACTGGAATATATCTGAGAAACCACTTCAAGACTGGCCCCAGGGGTGGCTCTGCCTTCCCCTCAGCTGAAGGAAGAGGGAAAGGAATAGAACTTTTCAAATGAAACTTTATCTAGAACCCCAGTACATAAATCAGATTAAAGCAGAGCTATTTGGGTTGAAGTAGGAAAGGGAGACCACACCACCCTACTCCCAGGGAGGTATTGAAACTGGCTGCCTTAAAAGGCTTTCTTCTAAGGTGCTAGATCTTGGGGGCCCAGAGGACAGTGGGCTGGGTCCCTCCCACTCCAATAGCTCATTAAGGAGCCCACAGCCAGGTATAGGCTGCAGGGCTTGGCCCAGCTCCCATTCTAGGATTGCAAAATTACCCTAGGGAGAAAACTGCTTTCCCCTTCCCTGGCCCTGCTCAGAATACTTTTTGCTTCCCCTTCTTCCTGCAGGTCAAGTTATTTCAGGTAGATGAGGGTGAAAGTTAAGAGCAAAGCCATCATCCTTCCTCTCAGGCAGATCCATGGTACTAATGTAGCTGAAAAACCCTTAGAGATTATCTAGCCTCATCCCCTCCCATCACTCACCATCTCACAGACAAGGGAACTGAGGCTCAGAGATGAGAAGGGACTTGCTCAACATTACAGAGATAAGTCAGAGTAGAGCTGAGACAAGGAGCAGGAGTGGGCATGCCAGCCCCAGCTAAAGAATTCTCCCTACTACAAGGGATTTAGGACTGGATTTAATAGCTCTACCTACCTACACTTCACCCTTGATAACTTGATGTTCATCAAGACAGCCTTTAACCAAAGGAGAGGAGGTCTCTCTCGCAAGACATATGGGACCCACTCCCAACTACAGACCACCTGGCTTCCCCAGCTGCTTCCTCTACTCTCCAAGATGCCTGCTGCCCTGACCTACAACAGAGTCCACAACACTGCCTTGGGCCTGGCATGCTGCTGGGGTCCCTGGGTTCCATAGCCCACTCTCTGAATGTGTAGAGGAAGAGGGGTTCATCTATGAAGTGGGCAGGTGGCACAGGGACAGATTGTTTCAGGGGCCCACAGAAGTCTCTGTCTTGTACTCACAGGATTGTCCTGGTCACAAAAGCCCCGCATTCCAGAATGTACAGGCCCTCTTGATGGGCTCCTTTGTGTTACCAGCAGAACCCCTCAGCAAGGGTTGCTTGGTTCCTGGCTCCCTGATGACCCAAGGGCTCCTATACTTGTGATCCAGAGGTGAGTTTCGAGGGACAGCATGGAGCCCTGCACAGGCCTTGCTACAAAGATGCCTGGACAGTGCAGGGAGGCCTACTGATTACTCTGTGCACCTTTGCTCAAATCCCTACCCTTTTCTGCGCCTCAGTTTTCACCTGAGGAACATGAAGAGTTGAATTAGAGCACCCGGGTGTTCTTGACTTTTTAGGAGTAGTGGATCCCTTTAAAGAATCTGTTGAAAGCTATGGATCCTTCCCAAAATACAGACACACACATACATGCACACACACACACATGCATGCACACACAAACCAGACGCTTCTGAGAGGGATGCCAAGCCAGTTTTGTGTGGAGCTGCCTCACTGGCCCTCCACACTAGGGGCTGGGAGTCTTGGCAAGGGCCCAGCCAGGGATTGGAGCTTGTATTTCATTCATTTAGACCCTGACTGGGGACAGTTACCTCCCCCATCCACCCCATTCTATATTCTACCCTCCCTCCCTTCCTCCCTCCTGCAGGAGGCAAAGAAAGGGGTGAGAAATCCTGCTGCCATGGGCACTCACCCAGTCTTGCATGCTGGGGGTTCCAGCCGCTGCTCTAACACAGGCTGATCCAAAAGATACATGGTGTCATAATTCTCCAGCATAAGCTCTGCTGGGTCCTCGGTCTGACCTGGCATTCGACCTAAGGGGAAAGTGTCCCATCGTACATCTTCTGTGGAGCAAAACGAGGAGGCAAGAGAGGGCTGATGAGCTAGTTCTCCGATGGGTGCACAAGCCCACCTATCCTGTCCATCTACCCACTTTACTTCCCCACATAGCACAGGTTCTGTGTGCAACTCCAACCCCACTCCTTTACACATCATTTCTCATGAACTTTTCTCCACCTTAGTACTTCCTATCTCTTCCACAGCACCGCATACACTCTTCATGACTGTTCTGTGCGTTCACAAGCAGCACCCTCACCACAGCCCACCCCCTGCATACCATGTACACAATTATAGACATTTTTGTTCCTCTCTGCTCTTCTTCCATTTCCCCAAACATGTCCCTACACAAACAGAATTCCCACTGCATCTCCTCCTCAAAACCAGATATCTCTGTATATCTGAATAACTTAGATATCCTACATACATATGTCCCCCCAGTATGTCTGAGAGCCACACCATTTCTTAGTGGCCTTGCCTTGAGAGATACATGTAAGATACATATACAGGCCCATATACTACCTCAAGGTGAATATTCTCTCAGAGGTATAATGCTCTCCCTCCCCACTGCACGGTCCTATTGCCCCCAGATGCATACACAAAGAACATCCCTTCTCTAAGGAAGGGCTGTTTCACTGCATGTCCCACGCCCTACAGACGCCTAAATATACATACATAAGCACACAGACCTAACCCTCCACTCAGTGTTTCCAGTTTTACTCTCTGCCTTTCATACACAAACCAGAAATCTTAATGTCCCTGCATCCCCACATATGTATATACACATACAGAGGAAGCAACAGTGAGGGGGAGAGGGGAAGATTTCCAAGTCCTAGCCTTTCCCCGTTCACAACACCACCACCACCACCCACTGACCCAGCCCCCCATACGTAGGAATGGATGATGTCAGGCACTCTCCACCTATTATGTCCTATCATTTTAAGTACCTTCCACACAGTATTATATTAAATCCCCCCCCCAAAAAAATCCCTTCTCCATCCTTACACTAGTGCATTCAATGTTTGCAAGCAAAGCCTTCACCGGTGAGCTCTTCCAAACAGATCCAGTTTCTGGCCTCTTGCATCTCCCTGGTACCCAAAGAATTCTCCCCTGGCATTCTGGAAAGTATCAACCCAGGACTATAAACTTTTATGTTACTCAAAAAACTCCCTCAGGAAGGGATGTACCTCTGCCTGCCCATCCCCTAACCCCTGGTTCTCCTACAAGAAGGAATTTGTGACTGCATTGCCCTATGGATACAAAGATACCTCTGTACACAGGGACCACTCCCTCCATGTCTGTCACTGACCTGACCATCCTCCTTCCCTCCCCATTACTAATGCTCCCAATTCTGTCTACATCATTGCCCCTGCCCCTCTAGCCTTATATCCTTGTACATGTCCCCCCAGTGATAGCACAGACCACACAGGCCATCTATGGATGCTGTCTCACTGCCTGTTCTCAGGCCTTTCCATATCACTCTTCCCCCTTATTGCTTCCATTTCTCTCCCACATACACATGCCTCCTGGTCCCCATGGGTCTTGGCAACCCTGTCTCCTTTTCCAAAAACATATATGACCATGTATGCACAGATGCACCTACAGCCCACTTCACAACTTCTCTTTTTACAACCCTTTCTCTCTCTCCCTCCCTCCCCCTACTTCGTGCTCTCTCTCTCTCTCTCTCTCTCTCTCTCTCTCACACACACACACACACACACACACACTTCTCCTCAGTCACTGCCCTTCCCTTTAGATATTTTCAAGCACAGTCCTCCCTATCTTAAGAAAGTTCTCTCCACTGTGCCTTGGTGTGTCCAGCACATGCAGGCACATAACCATGTGCATACATGCAAACATAAACATGTTCCCTGGTCCCTAGCACTCAGGGCCCCAGCCCTTCCATCCATGTAAAAGCAAAGACTTCATTTTTACCCTAAGTTTCTTCACTGCCTCCCCCTCTCCCTTTATAATCTACCATGTCTACCCTACACCACACCCAATCCCAGCTGTTTTCCTTCCCTCCCTTCCCCAGGCTTCATCACACAGGCTATGCCTAACATTTATCCCTGCCTCAAGTGTGTACACATATACACATGCCTATGTGCACACCTCAGACTTTTCATTCCTTTGGCATCCCCCTGCCTTAAGGTCCCTGCTCCCCAACCCAAACAAGGACATTCACCACCCTCAGGAGCAGATTCATGTTCCCCCTACCTATCATCCAAGTCCCCTGCTCCCTACTGGCTTTGTCTCACTAACTTGTATGCTCACCAAAAATCTGACCTGTTCCTTATTCTCCCCTTTCTGATCTCATTTCCACTTCGTCTAACTGAATACCTCTGGGTTCCTTCTTTCTCAAACATATAGCAAAATCCTGTCCTATCACCACTCAGCCTCCACATGTCCATATACATTCACTTATACACAGACAGCACTGTACTTCGGCTCCCTGCACCTAATCACTGCATACAAAACACACATGCAGAATCACACATATATCCACCCCCAACTTGTCACTTTCTGCTTTGCTGCCCAGTGCCTACATCCACACCAACTCCTCTGAATGCGCTCTCTGCATGCGGCAGCTGGCAGCATGACAGTGCTAAGGTCCCTGATGCTCACATGTTCCATCCTAAGGGGGAGGGAAACCAGCTGTCATCCACATACCAGGTTGCCTCATGCTGGCTACTTCCTGCTACTTTCCATCCTTTCTTGAGGGTGAAGGGAAGCTTCAAGAGCCAGCCAGAGAGGGAAGATAGATGTGGGGAGAAGTGGTTAACAGGCTTCTTACCTGAGCTAACTTGCCATGCAGAATCCTGCAAAGCTCCTCTTTTCTGGGCTAGGAGCCTGGCATTCTCAGCAGTGGGGGACTCTTCCTCTGTAGAGAAAGGTACCACCTCCATCCTGTCTTCCTCCTCATCTTCATCACCGTCATTGTTGTCATCGTCACCATCATCTTCCTCCTCTTCTTCCCACTTCTGGTGATGATTTTCCTCTTCCTCTTCTTCATCCTCTTCTACCTGGTCTTCCATGGCTTCTTTGTTCTCCTTCTCATTTTCCTTGACATCATTCAGGCTGCCCTGCTCCTCCTGTGGCTGGGCTTCTCCTTCAGGCCCAGAGCTTGAGCCTCCTGGTTTGAGGATCAAATAAAGGTTGTCCACTGTGTATGGAGACTTCCCAATGGGGGAAGCCTCTGAACCTTCCTGCACCGGGATTTCTCCACTCTGGGTATAAATGGAACAGATGTGTAGCAGCTTCTCCTGCTCCTTGTCTGGCAGGAACTGCCCCATGGCTTTGAAGATGCTAAGAAAAGGGAGGAATGGAGTAAGAAAGATTCAGAATCTCAAGTCACTTCATACCAAATTCCAGTTTGAATTTGGTCTCGGAGCTTCCAGACCTCCCCTGAAAGGCAGTTCAGAAGAGCAAACAGAACACAGGACCATGGACCCTAAACAAGCTCTGTAATTCATCTCTGTGGTTCACTTCCATTCTCAGTAAAATGAGGACAATAATGGTACCTAACTTAAAGGGTTGTTTAATGAAGTAAATAGCATAGCTCACATAGAGTGCCTGGCCCATAGTGAGCAAGCAATAAATGATAGCTATTAATCATACTAAAATGCTATATAAATATAGAAACTAGCCAACATGCCTGCAGGGCTGGACATGAAAATGGCAAATCCCTTTCTTTAGCTAGGCAATCTATCCTGAGCTCCAAAGATATACTGGAAGTATGTGGTGCTCCTTCCCCATGGAAAACAAAGTGTGATCCCTTTCTGGGAACAACTATAGCCCCGCCTGGAATGGAAGAAAAGCAGCAGCTGACAAGACAAAGCAGGGTGTGGGAGGGAGGCCAGATGAGCACTGCAGATTCAGGCACTACAAGAGCTGGGGGCAGGCAGAGAACACAAGGTGGGCAGGAGAGATCAAGGGAGGGCTTTGTGCAGAGACAATAGCAAGCACACAGGGCTGTGTGTATGCAGTGAGACTAGCCTGGCTCAAGGAGTAGAGCTTTGCTGAGGAGCTGTGGGAGCAGCAGAGACAAGAGCAAGCACACAGGGCTGTGTGTATGCAGTGAGACTAGCCTGGCTCAAGCAGTAGAGCTTTGCTGAGGAGCTGTGGGAGCAACAGAAGCCTGCAAAGGTTAGGATGTGTGTATGTTGGGTGGAGGGGGTCATTGGATGTTTCTGAGCACAGGTGAAGGCCGCTTTTCTGAAGATCGCCAGGGTGACCGTGTGGAGGATGGCCCGGGTGGGGCAGCCTGAAGTCAGGGAGACCAGGGAGTCAGTGAGGACTGACACAGGGCACTGGCAGTGGAGATGGGGAGAGAGAGAAGCTGTGCAGAACAGACAGACAGCAGGGCTTGGTAACCAAATGGTAGGGGACAGGCAGAGGAAAGTTAAAGATGATGACATCGTGACACAGTGCTAACAACTAAACTACCAAAAGATACAAAGCCACTGGGAAGGAGAGTTCCTGGGGAGGTACAGGGTGAGTATCCCTTGCAGAGCCTCACAGAGAACTACGCACCCAGCACACACCTGATCAGTGCTAGAGGCATGGGAAAGATGCACAGATGGATAGTTTCCTTCTAAGTGTATTGAGTTTGAATTGCAGGTTGTTCATGGAAGGAAGGGCCATGTGCTCAGTGGAGTTTTCTCTCTGGAGCCCATAGGCAGACTGGCCACATAGGTGTGGTTGCTGGTCACTGGCTGCTGGGGACAGGGCTTGGAGCTAGTGACTCCACTGGGAGACTGGGAGACCCTCTCTGCAGGGGTAATTTCATATTCTAAGATGGCACTGGCTCAAATTGAATTGATATTGGCTGGCTGGGGGGGGGGGGGGGGGAAGCTCTCAAAAAAGCTTCCAGCCTTACTAAGAAGCAGAGCCAGAGAGAAATTTTCTTCCCTCTCATTGCAGTCCATTAGTGCGATTAATAATAAATATTCTTAGGCACTTGAATTGGCAAGACACCATACAACTACTGTTTATTATTACCCTCTTAAGCTGTCTAGTCTGACCACTGAGGTATAGGGGTGATAAGAATCTTAAAATCCATCTCCTTCCTCAGGTTTGCCTGGTCATATCTAGGGACTGAGAAGGTCACAGATCACACTGGTGGAAATAAGGTGAACTCTGGACTCATAAGACCTGGGTCCAAATCCCTGTCCCACCATCAACAAATTGTATGACTTTTAGATAAGTCACTTCACTCTATTCAGAGCCTCAGTGTCTTTCTTATCTATTAAATTCAGTGTCTGTAATATCTCTGACTCCAAAAGATTGCTGTGTCAAATGAAAAAGCTCCTACAAACACAGCATACTTGTCTGACACTTAACTGCCAATGGTATATTTTATTTTTCCTCTGGGGAAAACAAAAGTCATGTTCTATATGTGCAATAATGGAACACTGTATAAAGAACACAGGAGGAAGGACAGTATATCTGGATTCTGGTCCCAGATCTGGCCTGAAGACTTACTACTGACTTGCAGCATAATACCTGAGGAAATCCCATTTCCCAACCTGTGTAATGGTGTGATTAGGACTCAACTCACTGATTATCTAGGTAAGGCAGGATCTGTGTACAAGAAACCATACCCAAGTGAGCTGCTATTACGGCTTGGCATGTGTCACATCCCTCTGGTATGCTTGGGTTGGGAGAAGATCTCTGTGGTGCAGACTTCTCCAAGACTAGCAGCTTCCACTCTGCAGGCACTTAGGACTGGAAAGTACTTTAAAGGCCATCTATCCAAACCTCTCCATGCCGCTCTTTTCATTCCCTCTCCCATTACACACACATGCCATATTCCTTCAGAACTTTGAAATTTCCTTTATTTTTTCTCTTGCTAGAATTACTCAAATGCCTCTAGGAGTTTCTGGTTCTCCTCCCAGTTTCCCACCCATTTGTATCATTTTCAGTCTATAGCAGACAAATCTGGAGATTTAGCTGTTTGGTTCAGTTCCATCTCCTGGAGGTCTTGCCCTCAATGACTCTGTCAACAAGGCTACTTTTTTCTAAGTTACTTATAAGATACAACTGTGACACAAATGGCATTAGGATTCAAGAAAGACTTTCTGACTCCATGGGGAGAGGATAAGGGGGGCTAAAACGGTCTAAGCATCCAGACTCCCACTTCATTTATTCCTCAACTCCCACCAAAGAGAGCACTGTTGGCAACGATAGCAGAGTATAATTTAGTTCAACAATATTTGCTGAGGTTTGTTTGGAGACTGGACTTGCAAGTGTGCTGGGGCACAGGTGGCTAATGCAGAGCCCTTGCCCTTGAAAAGCTTAGTCTGATAGAGGGAAGGAGACACTAGGAGAAATAGACATGACAAGAGAAAATCTCAGATTTGAGAAACACTTGAGAGAATCAAAATGACAGGGTAGATAGTGCTGCCACCAAGTGAGACAGGGAGCAGAGGAGGAAGATCACTTTGGGGCTGGAGTGGGGAGTAAGACAACTAATGCCCTTTCAATCACAGTAAGGTACTTAGACGCCATCCAAGGGGAAATATCTGCCATGCAGTCAAATACAGGAGGTTGAATTTCTGGGGAAAGGCCTGAGTTAGATAAAGAGATTTGGGCCTTGGTACTTTATAGGAAATAGTTTTTCTTTTTTTTTAAAAAAAAAGCACAGGCATTTCAAGGAAGGAGTAGCGAACAGTATCAATGCGGCAGACAGGCAATGGACAAGGGCCCACTGGATTTGGTAATTAGGTCAAAGCAGCTCTAGGGGTGAATGCCAGATTGCAGCAAGTTGAGGCGTAAGAAAGTAGTGAGGAAATTGAGACTGCTGAATACACATTACTTTTCTGGGATGTTTTGACAGGAGAGAAAGGAGTGATTAAGTTGCTGGTAACTCAATAGAGGGATGCAGTGTCAAAGGAGATTTCATTTGTGTTGTTATGATTGCTGTTTTAAGATAAGAAAAATTCAGACACTGTTCACAGGTTGAAGAGCAAGAGCCAGTGGAGCAAGGGAGAGGCTGGGGTGAGGCCCCAGTGATGCTGGCAGAGGTAGCTCCAAAGAACAGGTGGAGGAGTAGGCTTTGAGGTTGGGTAAGGCCACCTCATCTTGAGATTGGCGACAATGCTGAGCATAGCCAGAGATCAGCTCATGAGGTCTGGACCTCAGGTCATGGGGGCCCTGCCAGAGGCCTCCATGTGCTCAAGGGAGCTAGGGTAAAATGGGGGAGGGGTTTGAGGTGACTAGTAAGGGTTTAGAACAGTCAGGAAACAGGAGAGAAAGTGGGCAGGAAACAAGTAAAAGCTCAGACAAGCCAAACTGAGACCTGGCCTGAGATCAAAAATCATACCTCTGCAGTGGCAGCAATCCGCAGGGCTATGTGGTTTTCTCCAGCAGAGCTCAGCTACCTGGGCTGAGGAATGGGAGAAGCAGACTGGGAAGGATCAATTCCAGCTTGGCAGTTTGTAAGTCAGATATGCCAAAGGATGGACAGAATGGAGGGTGCTGATGATGGGTGACTGAAGTGATCAACCAAAGACAGGACTGAAGAGAAGCAAGATTGAGGCAGGTAAGAAATGGAGGGATAGAGGTCTGGATGCAGGCAAAGAACAGATGCTATGGGATGCAAGGATGAGAACTGGTAGGACAAGAGGTGGTAGACAAGAGGTGGTAGTCACAAAGTGGGATGCTGGGATGTAAGCTTTCAGAGGTGGAACAACTTTGAGTAATGGAAATGAGTGTAGTGGAGGATGAAGGTCACTGAAGTTGAGGAACCGCAGTGTCAGATGGATCACTCAAATGAAACAAATACTGCTCCAAAAAGCAGGAAGAGAATTGGGTCCTAAAGCCTTCCATGAGTATGAGGGGAGTGGTGTGGGGTCAGGAAATGACAGAAAAAAGGAAAGGGAGACAACCACAGGTATCTACAGAACCAGTGCAATATTCATTTTGATCAAAGCACTGAGTGGACTGGGCAAAGGGGAGTCAAGGAGGTATGATTATCACAATAGATTGGGGCAGAAGCAGAGAGATCTTTGAATGTCAGGCTAATAAACCTAGTCTTCATAAGGAAAGCAATAACAAGCCACTGAAGGTTGTTAAGCACCTATGAGAGGTACATTTTGGGAAGATAATGGAGACACCACTGGGCATAGAGTCAGCAAAATGGGTTCAATAATCAACAGCAGCTACCATTTATTGTGCACTTACTCTGTACAGGCCACTGTGCTAAGCACTGTAGGGGGGTGTCTTATCCATTTTCATACTGGACTCAGTTCAGCCACTTCTTAATCTCTGTGATCTTAGGCAAGAATATATCCTACCCCTTCCCTCTCTGGGACTCAGAATAACTCTCTCATCTTGAGGGGAGATCTTTGCAAGGAGGGGGGTCTTTGCAAGGGCTCAACCAACTCTACCATTCTAGGCCTGTGGCCCTGAGGCCTGCAGCGTCTCACCCTCTTATTGGATGGTATTCAAAAGACTTACAGCTGAAGAAGTTGGGGGCTGGCCCAGCAAGGTGAGCCCAAACAGGACTCAACCACCTGGGGCCAGTCAAGGGAGGCAGGGCAGTTGAAGAGCCTCCAGTTCTTTCTCGCTTCCCACTGGCTGGCAGAAAACCGGCGGGCATTCCGTCCTGAGAAAGAAGACAGGGCCTGAGAAGAAGGAAAGAGAAAGCCCCTCACCCAATCTTGCATCTAAAAAGTTTAGCTGTCCCTCTCTGTCCTCCCAGACTTCAACATTCCTTCAATGAGGACATTCTAAACCTCCCCATTGCTCAAAGCATTCAGAACCCTTGGCCCCAGCCCAGTTTACTTGGCTCTGAGAAGAAAAAGGTGAAGGGAGATTTGTCCCTGCTGCTGCAGGGCCCTCTTGGGCCGACCTTAAAGGTTTAGCCTTTAACACGGGATGTATCTGCCTGGTGCTATTCAGTATGAGGACAGTAGCAGATGCTCTTGCCTGGGCTGCATTAAGCCCTGGGGCTAGGACTAGTCTTCCTCACCAGTTTTGGTGTTAGCCACAATCAGTTCAGTGGTCCATCTGAGGATGTAGGTGGACCGGATCCCAGTATTCCCCAAGGTTGACAGCTCAGAGAACATCCTCTCCAACAGGGCCTGCATGAAGGTCTGGGAGTGCAGGCCCCTAAGCAGGGGCTGCCAGAATTGAGAGAACGGCTTTGGCACCACGACGTCATCCAAGTCCACGTTTTCTGGTTTGTGAGAAACATCCATTCACAGGAAAAGGGGAAGCAGAGAAGGAGAGGGAAGAAGGGAGGGAAGAAGGAGGAGGAGAGAAGGAGAGAGAGAGAAGGAAGGGAAGAAATCAAGCAGAGAGAGGGAGAAAAAGAGGGGGCCCCCCCAATAATAACAGAGTTGCCACCGCAGAGCAAAAAGAAACATGAGAGCAGAACAGCAGGGAGAGAAACCAGTTAGTATCTGGCAAACAACAACTGACTCAAAACAGAGTACAAAAGAAAGAGAGCTCTGGTTCTAGCTTCAGCTTTGTCAATAACTCACTGTGTGACTTTGGATCAGTACCTTCCCCTCTCTGGACCTCAGTCTGCCCATCTGTAACATGAGGATGTTGCACTACATGACCTTACAAGGCCCTTCCAGTTCTGTTGTTCTAGCTCTCTAGTAAGTGGCTAAATCACAATTAATACAGCAAAATAATGGCATTAAGACCCCCACCCCAATCCCAATCCACCCTATCTTACCCCACCCAATTCCAGGCCACCTAAGAATAGCCCAAACCAACAACTACTTTTCAGTGGGGCTACATTCTGCTCTGCCAGGATGATCTTCCAGTAGCTATGGAATGGCAGGAAACAGCCCTTACCCCTTGTCCAGGGCCACCCAGACCACCCCTGGTGTTCTTGTCCAGGATACCCATACCCTAAGGCTGTAGTGAGTCTTCAGGACCCTACCTTCATATTCTATCTGCAAAGCTGCCAACTGTTCAAATGTGGGGATGAGAAAGCCGTCATCCAGAAAAGCATCTAGCACAGCCTCCCTGGAGCAAGAGGACACTAAATTAAGTAAACTGAAGCAAGCAGAAGACCCCCTTCTACTCCCCTACCCACTCCCAAGGCTGCCAATGCCTCAACTCAAAGGCCAAACCAGCATGGGAAAAAAGGAAGGCAGCTGACAGTTGGCTTTCAGGCCCCTGCCTCTTGGGTCAAGGGCTGAGCCAAAAACTGGGATCAGAGGGTTTTGAACAAGCATCTACCAAGCACATACTAATCTGAGGCCCATAACAAGGGCAACAGTAGCTGAACGAGCTCGAAAGCACATATGAAAGAAAGTCCCAGGCCCACAAAGGAGTTAAATGCCTGTGGTCATAGGGTCAAGATCCTGCTCAGTCTTTTCTCTTTACAGTTGTCCAGTCTCCTACCCCTCCCTTTCTCCCTGGTTGCCTTCATTCAAATCTTAGAAGCAGAAACTTTAGGGACTCCATTGATGGATCAAATATTATTCTCATTCCTATAGCCTGCAAGAACCCAGAACTAAGTTACAGAGGTTAAAGCCTAAGAAATAGGGGTAATCTCTCATTCCCATCTAGCTCAAACCAAAATCAGCGTCAGCTGTCTCCTCCGAAGCTAGAAGTTCCCTAAGGGAGTCTCTCCTAGCTGACTGGGCTGAAGGGGAACAAGAGCTCTCAAGGTGTCTCAACGTCTAGATGGCTGTCATGCTCAGGCTCAAGGAGAAAAGAGTTGTCCTATCCATCTCCTGTCTCCTCAGGTCAATATCCAGGAATAGCACTTAAAACAGTCAACCAGTTGCCTGCTCAGCATGATCAGGCAGACACTACTGTATAGCACAATGATAGTTTTCCCAGCTACTGAGGTAGTCACCACTCACCTCTTTCCAGATGGGTACAGCTAAGAAGCCTAGGCTAGGCAGACACTGATAAAAACACTGTCTGAACTATTAGTGTCCTAGGAATAAAGACATCAGGAACAATCCTCATTTGCACTGCAGGTACTGCCTGCTATCCAGGCCCACTCTGTCACCTACACCACCTTCCTATACTGTCAGCTTCATCGCAGATTCTTTCCAACCTCTTCCCAAGTCCTTTCCAGCTGAATTTAGGTAACCAGGGAGGAGAAGAATGGATAGACACTGTCTGCTCTGGTTGAACTGAGTACTACTTTGGGGGGGAAATAAGGCTCATGGCCATAATGGGTGGTTCAGTGGGAACGTAATCTTTCAAGGATCCAGGCCTTGGGAAGGCCCCTCCTCTGTCCCCTCAACCACAACTATCCAAGGGATGCTGATACCCTCTCATAGCAGTTTAAGAGACCAGCAGTGCCTACCAAACATCTTTTACCTCAAACTCAGATTAAAGAGGTAGGCAGTGAAAAAGCAAAAGATTCAGGACTCTTCCTAGTTGCCAAGAGTTTCATGTACACTGGACACAGAGAAACAAAGCTGGCCAGGGGATGCATGACAGCAAACATTATTGCCTGTAGCCAGTCCAGTGACTCAGAGTAGGCAAACCACACCTGGTAGCTTTCAGGGCTTGCGAAAGTGGATCATGCGAAATACAGGGTCACCCGTGGGGGATCAGGATTATCCCTGGAATTTCCTACAGCAGAGGCTAGCAAGCTGGGATATGAAAACCAATTTCAGGAAGGCTGCTACACTCTACCCTAGAAGAGTAGCAGCCCCTGATTACCTAGTTACACACCTGTTCTCGAATGTAATGCCCTTGAGCTCTGCCAGGATGCATTCTACAGGTGGGGACAGGTTATTCCACGCTTTAATGGCCTGAGGTAAATGCCTATATTTCTCCAGCACCTGCCAGCAAAGAGGGTCCCATCAGAAGGCTAGTTCAACCAGGTAACCCTCCCCTATCCCTCCAGGATTCCTTCTCATAGGACCTCTCAGCACTTCCCTTCAGGGAATATGGCAGTGTATGCCAGGGTGAGCTCACAATGTCCCTATTGGCTCTGCAACTAAAAATATCCTGACCCTTAAGCTCCAGATTTTCTCTTCTTCCTCTTCCTCCCTCCCCACCCCCCAAATTACCTGCAGCTCCCAATAACCAGATAATCCAATACACAGATATCCAATGGGGGCATTTGGTTGGGAGTTGAGCAGAGAACCTTGGACTCAGGGGTGAGAGGAAGCAATGAGTTATGGAAGAAAGTGAATCAGGAGACCCAGGTTCTTGTCCTGGTTTTATCACTAACTGCATATGTGACCTTGGGCCAGTCCCTTCACTCATCCATGGCTTCAATTGCTTCATCTGTGAAAAGGAAGGGTTGAGCTGAATGGTTTGCAAGCTACCTCCCTTCCGGCTAAAATAGCACCCATAAGCTCACCTGATCTAGGAAGGCTCTTGGATGCCATTTGCTGATCAGCTGCAATACAGTAGGTCTGTGCAACCACATACACCCGGTTATTCCCTACCACCCAATAGGGCCAAATATCCACAAACTTCCATCATCTGCTCCCTTCCATTGATGTGGAAGATCAGCCAACCGGACTCTGCTCCTCTTGTCTGGTTCCTATTCCCCGCCTCCCCATTTCTAAGAAGTTCTCTCAAGCTTTACCACTTTTCTTTCAATTTCCTTCTCAGGACTTCTCTCAAGTAGCTGGCAAGAAGGAAGAAACGGCTAGGGCAGGTGAAAACAGGCCAAGTCAAGGGCACATTCTTACCTTAAACTGCTCCTCTTCATAGGATATCAGCAGTTCTCGGGCTCTTTCTGAAAACAGAATAGGGTAACAGATAGAGCAGCCAACCCTGTGTCCTACTCCTGATGGAATTTTGAACCCCCTCACCTCATTTCCTGAGTTGTAAAATGGGAACTAGAATTCTTGGCTCTCTTGCTTCACAGGGCTCAACGAAGATGCTTTCTGACAGTAATTTTTTTTAAGCTAAGCCTCACCATAACCCCAAAGGAAATACCAAGTCAGCGAAATAACCAGAGTCAATCATAAGCCTGAGTCTTCCAAGCTCATGAGCCCCTTTCTGCACCAGACACCTACCATACAACTGTTTATGTCTCTGAGCCTTTTGTAAAAGCGGATCAACCTCTTTGCTGTCTTTGTTGCCTTCGCGGTCTCCATCAGCCTTGACATTCAGCTCTACACCTTTCTCCTCATCCTTAGGCTCTGGATTCTGTTCTTTGATGTCATCAACAACAATTTTCTTATCTTCCTTTTGGTCTTCTTCATCTGTCTCTTCCCTCTCCTCCTCCAACTCCCAGGTCTCTCTCAGGCTGTTCTCCATTTGGCGGCACCAATAGGTGTTCTGGAGCCAATCCAGGACAAAATAACAGCCTAAAGAAGGGGAGGAAGGAAAGTAGTGCCATAGTAACAGTCACAGGCAAGCAGCTCCTCAGCAGGCCCCCAGTCTCATCTTGCAAACATTATGGGCAAGCCCCAGGGAAAGAGGCTTGGCTCCAAGAAGACACAAATCTCACATATCCAGAAACAGCCCCTCTTGCTCTGGGTTATCCCCCTGTTGTTTGCTTCCTCCCACTCACCAGCACATTTCCTAGAAAAAAACTAATACCAGACTTGAAGATGGGAGGCCAAAAATGGAATGGGGCTAGCAAGTGGAAGAATAGAGACCCAGCCCCACTAGCTAGTTACAAAGCCTTAGCCAGTCAGGTCTCTTCCCTTTTCTAGATCTCAGTTTCCCCAATATGAAGGGGTAAGGCTGAATCAGGGGTTCTTAGTTGGAACGGGGTGTCCAAAGAACTCCTGGACTCATGATATTTGATGGCTCACACCTCTCAACCCACTCCCCATTCCCCTCCTCAGGCACAAAATTTAAGGGGACGCCAAAAAACTCAGTAATTGAGACAACAAAACAGGATCAGAAGAGTGCCCTGTTACACTATATTGGAGCCTAAAGCAAAAGGAGAAATCAGTATTATTAATCCTATCTTTATTCACGTTTGGTATTTTGATCATTGTAAGTTTTTCTATATTAAAATGCTACTTATATTGATTACTGAACTTTTGACATCCCCTTAAAGTTTGTGTCCAAGGTGAATGCTTCACTTGACTCACCCTAGTCTCAGCTCTGACCCCAGGTGAAGACCCTCCTCCCTCTCTTTCTCCCCACAGTGCCACCCAGCCCAGGCTCCTGGGCTTAACTGTGATATGTATACTCCCTGGGGACTCACCCCTACGGCAGTCATTTATATGGGGCATTTTCTTGTGGGTTAACTCATGGCGAAGTTCAACAATCCAATCCGGAATGTTCACCTGATTGTGGAGGAGGGTGTGCGCGCAGAAATTAGAAAATATTAAAGCAGAAAGGGCCACAGAGATGAATTAGCCTGGCTTCTCCCCATTTTACAGATAGAGAAACGGAGGTCCTAAGAGGAGGTTCTGGTCTTAGTGGCAAAGCCAAAATTAGAAACCAGATCTCCTGATTCTCTTTAGCCTCTGAGGAGGTGATCCTGAAAATCAGAAGACACTTGCCTCCCCCAACCACCAACTACCCTCCTCCAATGAAGAAGATTCCTGTGAATGAGCATTAATAATCACCTTCTTCAGCCTCCTTTTGCCCTGCCAGTACCAGTTCCTCTCCCAGGGTACCCTTTACCCTTCTCTTCCTCCTTTCCTTCCTCCTTCCCTCCCAGACTTCCTCCAGGAAGCTTCTCTTGATGGTTGAGAACCTGTCTGCCATCTGGGTCTCTACACACCTCATATACTCACTCAAAGCAGAAATGTCTTACAATTTCACACTGCTTGGCTGGATTTGTCTCCTCCTTCAGACTGTCAACAGCCAGAGGGCAGGCACTTTAACTGCGACCTCTTTCCTGTCCCCACCCAGTGGTGCACTGGGGTGCCTCAGCACAGGGGTGCCATTCCCAGCAAGCTGGGCAAACCAAGCCCACTGAAGACATCAGCCATGAGCAAGGAAGCAAGTCTGCTTCTTTCAAGCTAAAAGCTGAGGCTCTGGGGTTCTTGCTGGGCTTGGCTGACAGTGGTGGGATAAGCTAGTCTGACTGTACCCACTAAATGCCCCATTTAGTGAGCCCTTCTGAGGAGAGAATTGAGCAAGGCCACTTTATCATACACACCTCCTGAGCCAGGAATTTGAGAGGGAGCTTGGCAAACTTTGTCTTCCTCTCCGAGATAAGGTTCACAAACCTGAGTTTGGGGGAGAAATAAGTGGCAGAGCCCAAGTAACTGCTTTATTCAAACCAGTGGGGCTTCAAAACACCTTGCTGAGTTACTGACACCTTGCATTTCCACAACCTTTCCAATGACTGTTCTGTCCTGTTTTTATGGTTGGTGTCAGCCAGAGCAGGAATGGTACCATCCAGTCCAACATTACTCAGAGTCTGCCCTATACTGAAGCCATACAAATGAATAAGACACTGCTCTGGCCTTGAAGAGTTCAGTCTAGGATAAATAACCATGACATAATATAACATATTATGCTAGAACATAATATGTTATAAATGCTAGAACAAATGACTACATCAAACGATATGGGGAGCACAGTTAAACAATGGATAAGGTAAGAAGAGCTAAGGACGACCTTAAGGCAAACAAGGGAAACAGTATGAGCTAAGCAAAAATTGTGACAGATGAAAAACTCAGAAGCAACCGTTTTCTTGATGTACATGAGACAGCTAGACCCACTCTGAGCCACTCTGTAAATCAGGAACTCCTGGCCCACATCTTGGTTTCCACAACTCAGCAACCTTTCAGTGTTCATGAACAGAATGGGATAAAGGTGTAGACAAGGGTAGGATTAGAAAAACCACATTAAATCATGGTCAAGAACATCAAAGCATTCAGAAAGGTTCCTCTAGGTAAGAGTAAAAGGGAGAAAATAAATCGAACTGTAAAGGCTGGAAGAGACCCAAAGAGACCATTTGGTCTAAATCACCCTCACCCTATATTCCAAAGAGAGGGGAAGAAAAATGGAGGAGAGAAGGCTCTCAGGAAAAAAGAGGAATGTGTGTTAACAGGGGGTTACCAAAAGCTGTCAAGTTAAGCAATCACAGGGTGACCCATACACAAGGACACACAAGGCATTTTGCTTCAGGGAGCACCCAAAGCCAAACTTGGCTTATCGTGCAAGCCCCATGCCCCCCACCCTCAAAACCACCCCCCAACACACCCCTACCCATGTAGGTCTTACCTGACCAATGCCATGCCATAGAGCAGTCTAAGTTCATCAGTGCCCAAGCCACCAGTTACATCCATGAGCTTACAGCGTACCAGGTCAGCAGTAGAAGCCACTGCCAGGGGGAGTTCGTTGCCTAACCTAAAGGGCCACAGTCCAGCACCATCATAAAGGTCCTTTACACTGGCCCACCCTCCACCTCATAATCTAGCTTTCTGTAGGTTATTATATATTGGCTAAAGGGTGTGTTAACAGACACAAATCAAGAAGCTGGGAAGATGGGAGTGGGGGGGGGTGGGTAGGTAATGTCCCTGGGATCCAACAGTATACAGGATGCCTAACTGCTACACAACAAATCAACAGTTAAGTGTGGACACACCCCTTTCACCCTCAACTCATTCAGCTAGAAAAAAACAAACAAACAAAAAAAAAAACACCTTATTCTGGAGACACTAGTCCCTTGTCTGCTCCCAACTAAATCTTACCAACTAGACTGAACCACCCCATTCAAACATGGATTTTTCAGGCAAGCTCCCACCACCCTTTCTAATTCAAATAGAAGTCCACCCTAGAGTGCTACTCCTTAAGCCCTGCCTGGCTCAGCCACAGCAGTTCCTTCAGTACCCAGCCCAAGATGAGAGAAGGTAAGGGTTAAAGCTCACAGATTTGACAAAAGGGCTGTTGAGGCACACCGCAAATGGGATTAGTGCAAGAGCTTTGCTGCGACTTTTCCCCCAGGCACACTGAGACAAGCAATGCCCAAACCACGCGTGGGAGAACCATTAAGCATTTAGGAGAAGACTAGATAGTAAGGCCCTAAGAAACCCTATAGAGGAAGAAGTGAAGTGCCACAAGCACGCAGGCAGGAGGGCTAAGCCAACCGCCTTACCTGCTCCTCCACACCGTGATGCGGTTCAGCGCGTACCGCTGCAATTTATAGTCGTCACTGAACAGATACACCATCACCTGATCCCACTCGGCCCTGCTGAGCCAGGCGACCACGATGCGCTGGGCCCAGAGTGGCGACGACCCTTTCTCTTTGACGCACTTCCCGCACCACGCACTCCACACAAGATCCATTCCCCGGGGACCCAGACCTGGCTCAATCTCGGATTCCGAACGGACATCGGGCTCAACATCGGGCTCAACATCGGGGTCAACGGGCTCAACATCGGGCTTAGGCCTTGTGCCGCCGCACTGAAGATCAGCCTCCATCTCTCGGTCAGCCTCCATCTCAACGTGCTACGCTAACTCCAAACCGCCGCCGCACCAGCAGCCAATGGGAGAGCGTGACCCCGACGTAAGCCCGCCTCCCAGCGTTAGCATAGCAAATCAAAACGCGAGAGCTAAAGGCTGCCCAAACCACGAGCTGAGGGAAAGGCAACCGGAAGTGTTCTTTCGTCATAGCAAACGTTCTAACAGCAAATGTTCAGTCTCAACGTTCCGCTTATTTCCTGGTTGCTAACAGGCTTCTGTCCCATACCCAGCGGGACGTGTCTGGACGGCAGGAGGAATTTCAGTTTGAGCTCCTTGGCGGGCGGCTGTGGGACGTGTCTGGACGGTAGGAGGAATTTTAGTTTGAGCTCCTTGGCGGGCGGCTGCGGGACGTGTCTGGACAGGAGGAGGAATTAGTTTGAGCTCCTTGGCGGGCGGCTGCGGGACGTGTCTGAACGGTAGGAGGAATTTCAGTTTGAGCTCCTTGGCGGGCGGCTGCGGGACGTGTCTGGACGGCAGGAGGAATTTCAGTTTGAGCTCCTTGGCGGGCGGCTGCGGGACGTGTCTGGACGGTGGGAGGAATTTTAGTTTGAACTCCTTGGCGGACGGCGGCGAGACGTGTCTGAACGGCAGGAGGAATTTTAGTTTGAGCTCCTTGGCGGGCGGCGGCGGGATTATGGTCGTTCAGTGTACTGGAAATGCGCTTCTGTTTTTATTGCCATGAATCAGCACCTGACCCAGTAAAACACTGTGGACGGTAAAGCAAGACTGCACAGCAAATAGCATCTAGTATCTAAATATCTAAAATTGGGTTAAAAATCTGTTGGGTTTTCACATCTGTATACTGAGGAGTTTAGACTGGGTAATTTCTAGGTTCTTTTCTATAGCCCAAAATTGGATTTTACTCTGCCAGCATTCCACTGCTATGTTGGTTACCACATCCACAAAGGTATACTTAGTTATTCTGCACAGTTCCTTGGGATTCCGGCGTTCTGGAGGGGAAAGCAATATTATGAAGCCCTTCTAATTTTATTGTTGTTCAGTCACTGAGTCGTGTCCAACTCTGTAACCCCATGGACTGTAGCATACCAGTCTTCTCTGTTCTCCACTATCTCCCAGATTTTGCTCAAATTCATGTCCATTGTGTCCTGTTATGCAGTGTAACGAGCTGTCTCATCCTATGCTGCCCTCTTCTCCTTTGGCCTTCTCTCTTTCCAGCATCAGGGTGTTTTCCAATGAATTGGCTCTTCCCATTAGGTGGCCAAAGTTTTGGAGCTTCAGCAACAGTCCTTGCAATGAATATTCAGGGTTAAATTTTACAGGCTGGTTAAAATGTGTTCAAGACTCTGTTCTAATCTTTTTTCACAGAACTTATTTCCTAATCTAACACTTGAGAGAGAACTGTTGCTAACATACCAGCAGCATTGCTGGGAATAATTATTTTTCACTTTATAGCAATAAATTCCGATCCATTTTATATGTGCTTCTTTCTCCAGCCAGCTTCTCCTAAGATCTAGTCTGCCCATAGTTCTTGAATGATAGTTACTCTGTCCTGAGTAGCCCAAGCATCTTCCAGAAACCAGATACCTTTGCCATGTTCAGGATCTTAGCTGTGTGCAGGTAAAGATGGGTAGATGGCTTATATGACTCCTTAAGATCCAATCCAGTCAGAAGAGCTGCCAGGTCTGCAGAACTCATTCATGAACATTTTGGTAGTTTAGACGTAATTTTTGGATAGTACTTTTCAGGTAGGGCTTCTCTGGTGGCTCAGCTGGTAAAGAGTCTGCCTACAATGTGGGAGACCTGGGTTTGATCCCTGGGTTTGGAAGATGCCCTGGAGAAGGGCAAGGCTACCCACTCTAGTATTCTGGCCTGGAGAATTCTATTTACTTTATAGTTCATGGGGTACTCTATAGTACTTTTCAGGTAAAGGGCCCTATCATTCCCCATTCCTTCTCCATGAACCTGAAAAACGATGTATTCCAAGAAAACCTGACCAAAGCACTTAAGACGAGTACCATGTCTAGTATATGGAAAATGAGGCCTGAGACCTATTGAGAATTAGAAATTACTGGATTAAGTCTGTTAAGTAGTGATAGCTTTGAGGAGGCACTGTATTAGTTTCCTGTGACTGCTATAACAATCTTCCACAAACTTGGTGGCTTAAAACAACAGAAATTATCTCACAGTTCTGGAAGTCAGAAGTTGATATTATTTGGCTGAGATGAAGATGCTGGGAGGACGACAGTCCCACTGGCTGCTCTGTGGGAAAATCCATGCCTGTGTTTTCCAGCTTCTGGAGGCTACTGGCATTCCTGGGCTTATAGCCACATCACTTCAGTCTTCAAGAGAAGCATCTTCAAATGTCTCTGCTTTGTCTTCACTTGACCTTTTCTCGATGTGTGTAAGATCTCTCTCTACTTCGCTCTACTGTATTTGATTAAATTTAGGGCCCATCTGGATAATCCAGGGTAATATCCCCATTTTAAGATCTTTAATTATATCTGCAATTAAATTTATTTTTAAGTTTTATTTTGCTATGTAAAATAGCATTCTTTCATTTATTTTATCATGTAAAGTAATATTCACAGGTATCCGGGATTAGGAAGTGGATTTCTTTGGGTGGGGGAGGGGATTCAGCCGACCACAAGCACTATGGAATCTATCCTGGCTCAATAATCCTAAGAATATAGGTTCATTCACCTCATTAGAGCTGACTCAAATGTGTTCTTTTTTATAGCTGAGTAATATTCCATTGTGTATATGTCCCACAACTTTCTTATCCATTCATCTGCTGATGGACATCTAGGTTGCTTCCATGTCCTAGAGACAGAGTCAGTTCCTAGGCAGATTAATAAGAAGTTCAGGGCCCCCACGGAGGAGAAAGGGATCTTGGGATCTCGAAGTAGAGATTGAGGGTCTGGAATTCTCAAGGGGGAGAAAAGGACAAACTTTTTTCATTCTGCATTCCTTAGTCTTAGTCAATTACACACTCAGTTTAAACTCTATACTAGGGATTATACAACAACAATGTATCTGCCTGAAGGACAATTTCTCCTTCCTGAAAACCTTCTGACTGATCCTAACATCTTAGAATGTATTTTATGGGAGTGGGTCTGGAGGACCTTTCTGTTGTTAAATTACAATCCTGTTATCCTAAAATGTAAATTGTGGGAGTAGATCTGGTAAAATTTTCACAAACTTGAGACACTCTTGATTCATTGTAATAACTAATTAAAATTTATATAACTCCATTGCCAACACTAGCAAGGGGGTATTCTTTTTGCCCCCTTCTGATGTCTATGTCAGAAGCTTTCTCTATGCCTTTTATACTTTAATAAAACACTATTGCACAAAAGCTCTGAGCGATCAAGCCTCATCTCTGACCCCAGATTGAATTCTTATCTTCCAGAGGCCAAGAATTCTGGCATCTTTTCATGGGTCAACAACAACATTTCATCTTGGGGGCCTGTCCGGGATTCTTCAGGACAAGGTAAGGGTGCTTGGAGCTCCAGTTCTTTGTTTTCCTAGTGAACACATTTTCTGCTGTACTTTACTAACTCTGTGGTGCACTTGTGTGAATGAATGACATGCTCTGCGTGAAAAAAGTGAGATGCCCTGCTCTGTGGTTCCATGGTGACCTCATACGGCTTATGGCAGAAACCTGTCAGGGGTTTATACAGACCTGCCAATGCCAATATCTCCTTCAGGGACTGACCAGAAAATGGGCAAAGCGTGCGGACCAAATTCTCCTTTCTTGTTCAGAGTTTCTGGTCTCTTTGACCATTTCATAACTTCTTGGGAATTCAGTCAGTTCAGTTCAGTCGCTCAGTCGTGTCTGATTCTTTGCGACCCCATGAATCGCAGCACGCCAGGCCTCCCTGTCCATCACCAACTTACGGAGTTTACACAAACTCATGTCCATCACGTTGGTAATGCCATCCAGTGATCTCATCCTCTGTCGTCCCCTTCTCCTCCTGCCCCCAATCCCTCCCAGCATCAGGATCTTTTCCAGTAAGTCAACTGTTCGCATGAGGTGGCCAAAGTATTGGAGTTTCAGCTTCAGCATCGGTCCTTCCAATGAACACCCAGGAGTGATCTCCTTTAGGATGGACTGGTTGGATCTCCTCGCACTCCAAGGGACTCCCAAGAGTCTTCTCCAACACCACAGTTCAAAAGCATAAATTTTCTGGCACTCAGCTTTCTTCACAGTCCAACTCTCACATGCATACATGACCACTGGAAAAACCATAGCCTTGACTAGACGGACCTTTGTTGACAATGTAATGTCTCTGCTTTTTAATGTGCTATCTAGGTTGGTCATAACTTTCCTTCCAAGGAGTAAGCATCTTTTAATTTCATGGCTGCAGTCACCATCTGCAGTGATTTTGGAGCCC